TGGAACTCCATAGCCCCGTATTGGCCCCACACACCGTGCAGAAATTGCAGATGACGCGGCACCCACCGAGTCTTTGGAACTACGGAGTCTAACTATTACGCACGACGTCAATCAACAGGTGTCCACACCCGGAGGTCCGACCCATAGAACCCGCAACCCCCGCGAACGGACCTCTTCGGAACCACCGTCACTGAGACGGTCATGTCGGACAACCCCATGATGCACCACACATGCCATCTGCCTTACGCTGCACGACCTCGACCGCCATCAGACCGAAAGCAACCCGTCCCTTAGCCTCATTGCACGTATGCCCCTGGGACCTCGCCACATGAGATCTCAGTTCTGACCTGGGACTCCACCCCCAATTTCCCAAAAATCCTTGGCACATCCCTTTTTGCACTTCCGGGCCCACATCCCACTCCGATCAGGAAGTCGCGTCGGGCATGAGGTTTGTATCGGAGCCGACACGTGGCAGGGTTATAGGATTCATAGGGCGATAACTGAGATCGAAGCGATCTGGCTAACAGAGGGCGACCTCGACCCCGGAACGCGCATCGACGCGATCCCATCGTTACAAGAAGCCGGTCTGTAGCTCGACGGGCGGCTAATATTAACGCTAATCAACAGAATCCAAATCCACAACAAAACCCCAACCAAAAGCTAAATCCTTATCAACCCGTACCACGAGCGCGGGCACCCATGGCCCCACCCGATCTCTATCTATTCGATCCCGCCCACCACCTTGTTGGCGCATGGCTGGCCACGCTCCGAGCTCATCAATACGATGACAACGAGGCACAAGTAAACATTCCCGCTCGATTAGGGGGAGATGCTCATCATTGGTTTAACACCTATGTATGGGTTTATCTCCCGACATTCGAGCGAGACTTTCTGAACCGATTCGATTATATCCATCCGGAACAGGCCCTCTTTATTATTAAATATCGAGTCCAAAAACCCCTCGAGTCTGTCACTGAGTACCGAAATCGATTTGACCGAATATTTGTAAGAACCGAACGAGGCGAACAGATAGGCAGAAATTTGTTTATTGATGGACTTCGCAGCAGAACGATGAGGGCGAAACTAACATGTTATTCGTTAAAACAGTATATTATTGTGTGTACTATTTTGAAACGAATTTATGACACAGTGTATAGTCTGTTGTAGTATTCCAGATCCGGATACATCCGAACAAGGAGTAAAGCAGCTTTGAGGCGAGGAGCACAATCAGTACATATAGTTGCTCTCCTCTCGTGGTTCGGATGTGTCCAGATGTGGAACACCACAGCAGAGTGTACACTGTGTTATACGCCTCTGAGTCAGTACATATATCTGCTACCATTGTGTTATAATATGTACTGCTGCCTCAATACATATATCTCCTGTGTCCAGATGTGGAACACCAGAAGAGAGTAATATATACCACTGTGTCATAGTTTCACTTGGAGTTGAGTATCCCAATCATCCGAATCAGAACAGTATAATGACACAAACTTGAGCTTGTGAGTAAAACGAGTTGTGGCTCTTCACAAACTCAGAGGAGTAGGATGACCTGTATTTAGAAGTGTGAGGACAAGAATGAATTGGAGTTCTGCACCGATGATCGTGTACATGTATAGAGCGAGAGAGATAGAAAGAGAGAGAGAGACAGAAAAAGTGAGAGAGAGAGACAGAAAGAGCGAGAGAGAGAGTCTTAGAGAGACTGAACTTAATTTTCAGGAGACGCGGGGTCGAGCACACACGTAGACCATCAGCCTCGTTTTTTTAAGCATTTCAGACGATCGTTGTAGGAGAGCAGCAAGGTAATGTGAATTTCCAAGATAAGCGAAGCTCGGATGTATCCGAGATCACATGAGATAGACAGACAGAGGAAGTCCGCAAGAAATGGTCGTGTACATTTGAAGAGCGAGAGATATAGAGAAAGAGAGAGAGACAGAAAGGGCGAGAGACAGAGTGTCTCAGAGAGACTGTACTTAATTTTCTCGAGACGCCGCACGGACGACGCAGGGTCGAGCACACGCGGAGATCATCAGCCTCGCTTTTAAAAGCATTTCAGACGATCGTTGCAGAAGAGCAGCAAGGCAATGTGATTTTCCCAGATAAGCGAAGTTCGGATATATCCGAGATCACAGGAGATTGACAGAGAGGAAGCCCGCAAGAAATGACATATTAGCACGCCAGAGGGCTGAGAGATGGAAAAGACAAGCACCGTATAGTCACCCACAACATTTCGTGTTACGGACGTATCCGAAGTGCCGAACTAGTATAGACCCTTCAGTTTGAAGCTTCCCCTGTGCTTTTTGGGACACAGTTTAAGAAGTATCTTTTGCGAAACTGAGAGAGAGAGAGAGAGAGAAAGAGAGAGAGAGAGAGAGAGAGAGAGAGAGAGAGAGAGAGAGAGAGAGAGAGAGAGAGAGAGAGAGACAAACATTGTACCATCATCCACCGAGAGACAAACATTGTACCATCATCCACCACATTTCTGATCCATCCGGAGTGTCTCAGCTGTGAGTCGCTTCCTTACGATCTAGACAAAGATGACAGAGATAGAAAGAGCGCGCAGAGAGATGGAGAGGGAGACAGAGACAGAGACAGGGACATAGACAGAGACAGGGACATAGACAGAGACACAGAGAGAGACAGAGAGAGTGTGGATGATCGCACTGAATTTTCTTTTCATGTCAACATGTGGCACAGGAGACGCATGTTCGAGGAACATGCGAAAACCACAAGTGTAGTTGTACAAGAGTTGCAAGGTTTTCGTTAGGCGAGAGTAAGCCAAGTTCGGATGTATCCGAGATGACAGGGGAGCTCTGGCCTTCGGCCCTTTGTTTTGTGTGTCAAATTCGATACATGTACGAGTTCACCTTACTGAAATGTAATGGGCATAATCCGCAGGAAACCAACATATGTTTGTGTAGGATCCTCAGAGACTATATGTGAAACAACTTCAAGCGGTTAGTATAGTCGCCTTGAAACAAGTTAAAGGTAGAGACCGGTCTGCTCGAGTACAAATGCGGGTGCTGCCTCCAGCAAGCAGTTTCGGAGTTCGAGCGCCCACTTCGTTCGCTGGCCTTAAGTGTGCGACGGACTAACTCAAGTCCTCTATAGCAAAGACCTTAGCCCGTGTTTTGATTTATCCTTCCGTCACCACTTCCAATTTTGTCCAATCATGCAATTGTATTTTCAGCCCCACCACCTTAATTCAAATCTCGTCACATTCGAGCAGCCATTGGCGTCGTCTTTTGGGTTTTCCCTCTCGGCACATTCCAATTTTTCATTGTATTGGGTAATGCATAGGAACCGAATGTATGAATGCTCGTGCAGAGGGGGAGCTTTGCCGGGCCAAAGAATTGACAGCATTCAATGTCGGAATCACAAAGCACACAGTGCGGAGGGCCAGACGGGCCATCAAATGTATAAAGAGGCCCGTGTGTTGTATTTTGTTTTCTGTGACGCCTCACAACATTCAAAGTGAAAATGCATAGATGAGTGTAGACGACGGGGGAGGATCGGGAGAGAGGCAGAAAAGCATAGAGTTAGTTCGAGTTCGGATGCATCCGAGTATGCGGGCAGAACATCACACCACACAAGGCGCAAAATGATGAAAGCGACATATTCAATCACGAAACAGGCGCCCCAACAACGGGGACGTTCGTGATAATTGAAATCCAATGAGAAAGAACAATATTGTCGACGACAAACACGCCGGGGACATGACAAGTTCACCCGGAGATTTCCTGGCAGTGACAGCCAGTTCTGCTCTGAACCAAACCGAGAACACCCACCAGTCCCTCACGGAAAAATTGAAAAGGAACAAATTTCGTCTGGAGAAGAACGAAATGTTCTTCTACGTCAACCCTTCTACACTACATGATCAACAAAGAGATAGACGCTTACCTACCAACATCGCAAATCGCCAAAGCTAGTCTAGCTCTAATAGAGGAGATGTGTCTATGGGAGAAACCAAAAGGTGGACGTAAACCTCTCGCCAAACAGGAAGCGAACATCAACATGAACACCCCACAACTAGCCCCGTCGTCCTGCCGAGGGACACCTTTCACGCTGACCTCGCGAGCGAAGTGGTCGAAAGTGCGACCATCACCGGCGACACCTGCCACCGTGTTCAAAAATTTAACAGTTTTATCCATGAGTGCGGAGTAGAAGGAATCTTTGGATGACGAACACGAGAAAGAATCATAGATTTCGAAAACACGTCTAGAGAAGTTAATGGCCAAAAGGCTCCAGTGTTCGCCATCCTTGTGCACCGGTGCCAAGACGAGGTCATGAGACAGGAGGTCGACATCTTTAGCCCATCTGAGAACAACTGCCGGACCTCGCAGAAGCAGTGAAGAGGCGAAGAAGGAGTTAAAGGTTTATGTCTTCATGGTAGCAGCAGTCCGGCCGCAGTCGTCCAGTAGCATCGCCATGTAGAAATTGACAACCTCATCGTTGAGCTCCCCGGATCTATCCACGAGTGCAACGATGTCCTTGACGGATACCTGTAAACTGTGCGACGGCAAACGCGAGACGATGATAGTGAGCGGCAACCAGGAGCAGATAACGTCTTCAAGGACCGCTCTTCCATCTCGAGGAAACCCTATTCAACAAACACCCGCAGCACACAGCAAGCACAAAGGACGGGGCACTATGAGAAAATGTCGTCCTAGCGGCCATGGTCCGAGGAACCGCTACTCTAAGTCCGAAAAGTTCACGCATAACGTCATCCCTACTCCTGGACCTTCTACACAGAGTTGATTCTAAACTAGCACTGTCCTTTATATCCCTGCAAGCCTCGAGAAGGAATTCCTTGCAGTCTTTTTCGGCAACACCCGCTGCCTCTGCAACGAGTCTTGCGCGGGAGCCCAATACGGGCACGACTACCCTTCTGGGAGGGCCTCGAGGCTTAGTGTCCCCAGGAAACGCATCAGTGACATTGCGACGACCAGTGCCTCCCGCAACCAGGACTGACAACCTGGCGAGGGCAGGCGACTCCTGCGACTTGGGTGTTTGTCCACGAGTTCATCGACCTGTACAAGAAATAGCCACCCAGACATTTCAGCAGGAGATCAACAACACAAGTTCGCAAGAGCAACCAAGCAAACAGCACGTCACGAAGCACTTCGTCACAATCCAGTTGGCGGCCGCCTATACACCTTCCCGAAATCGACGAAGCAAACAACACTTCACGAATGGGCTGACGAGCGGGAAGAAAGTAGAGAAAGTCAGTGCTTACCAGGCCTAGCTACCACTTCACCAGAGCCCACCGACGGCAGTCCCAGCATGATTGGCACGCCTGCGCGCGTCGACGAGGCGACGACGTGCTCCAAACCCACAGGGAAACTTGACAGGCTTGAGATGTCGGCGTCAATGACCGTAGACGGTATATTCGTCTCCGGACAAAGATCGTCGACGTCCACAGCATCGGCAGGTTGGGTTTTCTCCATTGCCAATGTATCGTATTGTGTTGGGCTCAATGTCCCATGGATGTCCAACAACACCTCTCCCCCCCTTAACTTCTTGTCCCCGTGCGCTGTGTCTTTGTCGTCGTCACTCAAATAGATAAATCTATCTCCAAAAGCGTCAGAGGCCTTCTTCAGATCGTCCTCCCCCGTCGCCTCGTTATGAAGGGCGGAGTACAAGGGATCGTTGTATCCCGGCTGAACTAGTAGCTCCATCCCGGCGTCCTTGAGTGTCGGATCAATCCGGTCGTCTGTGGAATTGTCCTTGTCCAAAGTCGTCAGTAGTCGACAACCCTCAACGCCTGCCAGTTGAAGTCCTTCGTCCGTGTGCCTCGGATGAATCCGAATCACGGTCGTCTCCAAAGATGCATCAGGGAGGGAGATGTTCACAGGGCCCTGGTTCGGATTCATCCGAGCCCCCGCAGTTTCCAATGACGCCGACATGACCGCTTTCACCGGGGAGTCGCTTACGACTGCTAACTCGGCTCCGAGTTTGTTGGGCTCGACATTGGAACTGGTCGCCAACTCACCCTCAGTCCGACAGTCCTTATGGGCTTCCATGCACAGCATTACTGCATCCTGACACCGATCGTCTGTCATGGCAGACACGGCTTCCTGGTTCGGATGAATCCGAATTCCGTCGCCAGGGTTTTCGAAAACCCGGACCACCCGTTCGAGTTCTGTAGACAGTTGTGCCCCCTCGATGGCACGGCCTTCGCGGTTCGGATTAATTCGAAATTCCTTTTGAGGCGAAACGGAACACGGTTCCAGCTTGTCGCTGCCGGACCAGTGGTATGTTGCCGTCTCGCTTCCCGGAAGGCATTGAGTTCCGGACAACGAGGTCGTCTCCGAGGTTCGGATTGATCCGAGATAATCCGCCAACCGTTTTTGGAACTGAGCGAAGCATGTTCCATGCTTTGCGACACCCGCCCCAACAACCGCATCGACAAACTGTGTTTCGCTGGTGGAGCTAATCACAGGGTCCTGCTCGCCAGGCCGCGTAATACACCCAGGCCTCAAGTCGTTCCCCGTCTCCATTGAGGTGTTGCCTGTTACCGCCAGAACCCCACCGTCCTCGTCGCGGTCGACATCGGCCCCCTGCCCGTCTCCTCTATGATGCTTTGTCTTCTCTCCGCTGCGAGGCTTCTTCTTCTCCCGGCTGCCCTTTTTCCCCTCTCCGCCGCCTGCGTGCCCCGGAGACCGCTGTTTCGTCGAACGCTGTTCACTTCCACCTCCGGTACCTCGTTGCCCGCCVCCTTCACCATCCCCGTCGSCGTCCTTTCCGCGAGACTTGCGCTTCACAACTCCTGCCGGCAGGGTGACCCCAGGCAACTTCCAACTCACTTGCTTAATTGACGGGCTTGACGGAAGGGCGTAGAACGCGGAGGACACTTCCAGCCATTTATTTGACTGCAAGAACTCGAACAGTGTGTCCCCGTATTCGCGAAGAGCAGGGTCGTCCTTACTTCGTCGATTGACCTCACTTAATCTCTCCAATACAGCATCGTAGGCGCAAGATTCGAATGTCTCGAGGTCCCAACGATCGTCATATATCCACCCTCCACTTACGTCCCTCACAGCCACTACCCATTCGCCGTCGGGAAGGGCTGGCTGGAAATGGTCTGGGTGCCACACGATATCATGGCCCCAATCTTCGGCTGTGGAGAAGGTGTGTTTGTCGCCCATGTGGAAGGGAGTCGCAGGAGCCTTGAGATGTGGCTGGTCCGGAGGAACTGGATGGCCGGGTCGAAGACGTTCGGGCTGCGGCGTGAGACGAATAGGCTACCCCGGCGAACTCCTCAGACGGGACAACCCACCCCTCTTGACAGGCGCTGAGGAGGACACGGGCGTGGGACCGCCCGAGGTAGGTGTAGCGAGAGGTATCCCCGGTTTGCATACTGACGGCGAATCAGAAACTTGGGCGTTGAAGATGACCAATTGCCCGTCCAAATCGAAGAGGTCGTCCTCAACGCTCTCCTCCTACTCAGTCTCGATATTGAAGTTGTCCTCCTCACCGAATGCCAGCTTGTACTTATCCAAAGTGAAGTCGGCCGGATCGACAACATCGTCGTTAAAAAAGACATATTCCAGCCTCTTAATGAAGCTCACAGCGCCGGCCCGACTCGCTCCGTGGTAGCCCTGGAGGACCGCAATGGCGACTTCCTTCCGCACCACGTACTGCGGGTCAAATCTCAACCTTGGTTGTTCGCCGTAAAGGAAGGAGTAGACGTGGCGCCTTTTCTTCGAAGTCAACTTGAAGAGCATGTCCTTATTCGGGTCATAAACGGGCTCGACCACGACATGGTGGAAATCGCATGGGTAAGCCTTGGACGACACTTCATGGGTGACATACTGCACGGTGTATTCGAGCTGCATTGTGTCCCCATCCACGGCCAAGACGTGCTTCCCTGCTGAAGCAGACTCCACACCACCTGCGCGTGCGGCTTGCCCAAGAACAGCACGACATCTGCCACACCACAGAAGAAAAGAAGCTGATTGCACAACTGATTCGGATTCCGCTCGCCGTCCTTGTACAGAGCCCCCCTCTAGGTCAGGTTTCCGATGTCCGCGAAAGTCAAAGACTTGAAAGACTTCTCCTCCACATCCGTGGGTGTCACTTTCTGTTTCCTCCGGAGAGCGGCGGCGTCGTCTTCAGCAACAGCTCCCTCGTACACCGGGTGAGTCAGTAGCCGAGGGTCCTCGCCTTTGAAAAGGATGTGCATCACATCCGGCTCCTCCCGGACGCTGTTTCCGAACTGATGCATCTTCTTCGATGCCGTCTTCCGAACCCACTTCCCCGTGTAGCATCGGGTAGCCCCAAGCGCAGACAAACATGTCATGAAGGAGAGGTTCCACAGGCAGGGGACGAATACCACTAATGTCCAGTAGTCCTGACAAACGAAGCCCATCAACTCACTCAGAGACGCGAATGCCGCAGAGTCCCATCGCGCACGATCAACAGTTTCGCACAAGTCGAGCACGCAAGTGTGGGAGCGTAGCTGATGCCCTAGTTTTCCCAGCGCGGCCTTGTGATCTATGGCACTCAATGGGTCAACGTTAAACTGGGCCAGCGTCGTCAAGGCGCTTGTCCTTGTCCACATAATGTTGATGCATTCATCAACGTCCCGAGGGCTTTTTTTGCCTTTGGCGCGATCTCAAGTGATCACCGAAAGGACGACACGCTTCCACTCCACCGGGAAATGCTGGTCGTTGACAAGGGCCGCCGTTCTCTTGATGTTGTTGTCGTGATGACACCCGAGAAACTGAGGGCACTTGTTGACGTATGTGGTGTCCGTGAAAAATTTCCTGCTCTCGTTCCAAAGCTTGTCGTCGAGACCTCTGTCCTTGAACTCTTCGAACAGTTGCTTCTTGGACCTGAAGAACGTGGAGTTGGCATTCCACTCCCGCTTATCCATTTCCTCGTACTCGAACTCCACGTAGT